CTCGGCTCCCGTGTATACGGACATGCGACTTACCCCGGCTCTCGTGTTTATGGACATGTGACTTAACCTGGCTCACATATTTTTCCCCACAGGTTACTGCTGGCAACAGTATGAGGTCTCCCACATATGTGTCCAGACTTCAGGTACTTTTCTCCAAAGAAATATACAAGTAATAGTCCCTGGAACAATTAGAATTAAAGGTCTTGCTCAGGGGTCCAACAGTGGTGTCTCACTGCCTTCCCACCTGCTTAATTGTTATTTTCTCCAGGTAGCACTGTTACTGGGATTTGCTCATCTTCTCTTGCACACATGTAATGGATCTGAAAACCTCAGCACAGAGAGGCCCTTAGTTCATGATAGTACAAGTAATTATCTTTGGTCTGACCTTAAACTGCTGTCTCTCCTACTCATGGGCAGAGTGTTCAGGACGCCCTGCAGAGGGCGCTGTCCTCATTGTTCCAGACATCTCCACGCCGCAGGGTGGCTCTGGTCACGTTTAACGACGAGGTAAGTGAGCTTCCTCTGTCGTGATGCACAATGACATTTTAAACTGACTGCAGCTCTCTGGTTGGCCTCTTAGTAGTCTGTGCGATGCTTTAAATATACACCAATCGGCCATAACATTAAAACAGGTAAAGTGAATAACATAGATTAACACAGTACAGTGGGATCTGTCAAGGGTGCCATTATATATTAGGCAAACGAACAGTCAGTTCTTGAAGGTGACGTGCTAGAAGCAGGAAAAATGGGCAAATGTAAGGATCTGAGCAACTTTCACAAGGGCCAAATTAAAATGGCTAGACGACTGGGTCAGAGCATCTCCATAACAGCACGTCTTGTGGGGTGTTCCCAGAATGCAGTGGTCAGTACCTCGCTACCTATTAAAACTGCTCGAAGGAATGTCAGCAGATCATGGGCACCAAAGGCTCATTGATGTACGTGGGGAGCAAAGGCTAACCCGCCTTGTCTAATCTCACCAGAGAGCTACTGTAGCACAGATAGCTGAAAAAGTTCATGCTGGCTGTGACAGAAAGGTGTCTGCTCACATACTGCATCGCAACTTGCTGCGTGTGGGTCTGTGTAGCCGCAGCCCAGTCAGTAAACATGCTGACCCCCCTCCACCAGCAACAGCACCTACAATGGACACATGAGCATCAGAACTGGACCATGGACCAATGGAAGATGGTGGCCTGATGAGTCACGTTCCATGACATCATGTGGACGGCCATGTGCGTGTGCATCATTTTCCTGGGGAAGACATGGTACCAGGATGCACTAGGGGAAGAAGGCCAGATGTACTGCTGGGAAACCTTGGGTGCTGGCATTCATGTGTATGTTACTTTGACGCATACCACGTACCTAAACATTATTGCAGACCAAGTGCACGCCTTCAGGACAGCGGCATTCCTTGACGGCAGTGGCCTTTTTCAGCAGGATAAAATAATTCAGGGGTGGTTTGAAGAACATGAAAAAGAGGAGACTTGACCTCCAAATCCCCTAGTTCTCCATCCGATTGAGCATCTATGGGATCCATGGCGGCTCTACCTCACAATTTATGGACTGCTGCCAGATATCACAGGACACCTCTTTAGTGGAATCCATGCCTCCATGGGTCAGAGCTGTTTTGGCCGCACAAGGGGGTCCTACACAGATGGTTTTAATGTCATGGCTGATGAGTGCAGCATCTCAAATTTAAATATTAATCAGATGTGAACACAATAGCTAAACAAAAGGCTCAACTGAAGTAACTTGAAGGTACAGAAGAAAACTAGAAGTCTATATAGCTAATACACACTAATTACACTTTAATGCTACGTATTGCTTGTAAATTCTAAACAAAGCTGATGGACACTTCTGATAATAGGATTATTTACACATGTAGAGTTCAGCTGCATTGGCATCCCCGTTTTCACATGCTTTACACGCACCTACTTCGCAAGCTGACGTTTGCCTACAACAATCCAAACAAAAACACACGGAGGCACCTTCTGGCTCTGCGGTGTTTTTGCAGAGGTACGGATGCCAAGTAGGTGAGAGTTCACACGCAACAAGCAAAACATAGGAGGGACGGCATTCGAGAGAGCGTGGGACTGCCAAGCAGGCGAGATCCTATCGGTGCCAGGCCTGGTCTGCTTCCTGCTGAGCCGAAGGTCATCAGGTGCAAAACCTGTATTTTTGCACGTTCCCTCCCGACAGGTAACTGTATATGGCGATGGCACTGGGGTTCCGCTCACCTTGAGGGACTGGTCACTGGTGGACTTTGATTACCTAAAGGACCAAGGAGAGAAGTATTCCACTCCCCACTGTATCCTGGAGTCCATACATCCCCTCACCCAGAAGATCAAGGAGTGAGTTTGTCCCAGTGTGGTCCTCCCTCTCTGCCTGTCTGTGGTGTTTGGTGGGCCATGCCATCTCCTCTTCATCTCTTCATGTATTCATCCCAATATGTTTTAAGTACCTACCACGGATTGTCTCATTCATTCTCTTTTCTTCATACTCATTCCTTTTCCATTCAGAATGCGAGAACATGGAGCCACAGCACTGGGCCCAGCAGCGCTCGTCTCCATAGCGATGGCCTCTCGATATACAGGGTCTAAGGCAATTATCATTTTGCATCTTCCCTAGCCTGATCAGTGACGAGCTGATCTGTAATATGTCAGAGCCATACCTATTTCCATGGTCAACGTTTAGCATGGCTAACCAATTTGTCCACTTACTGGTTTCAGGTAATCATATGCACAGACGGGCAAGCTAACATCGGCCTGGGGGAACTGGAGCAAGGGTCCCTCCACACCTCTACTTACTCCCCATATTTCTATAGCCAGCTGGCCAAAGAGGCTGTGAACAATGGGTAAGTCTAGAAAACCAACGCAGTAGGTAAGATCTTTCTGCTCCTTATAATATGGTTCCTCACAGCTGTACATCTCATACAGGATCATAGTGTCAGTGCTGACCTTTGAGGGGACAGACTGCCGGCTGGCCGAAATCGGGCGACTGGCTGACCTCACAGGGGGCAGGGTGAGTGAGACCTTGTGTTTTTACACATTATCGTACTGCGGCCCTTTGTGAAGCCATACCAGCAGTAATCTTTTCTTATCTCTTTTGCTTTGGGTAGCTACAGACTAGAGAGCTACTGTCAACAGCACAGTAAGATCAAACTTACAATTAAAAAAAAAAATTTGCTTTCATAATTGACCCACACTTAATGGAACCCCTGCCTTTAATACATCACTTGGATATGGTCGGTTTGTCATTTTATCATCCATCCACTTACCTTTGGACCACCAATCCTGGTCAGGGTTACAGGGCAGATTCGGAGTCTATCCGGAACATAGGCCATAAAGCTGGGGTACGGCCCAGTCAGGATGAACTTCCCTTACATCAGGGTTACAGGGCGGATCCGGAGTCTATCCGGAACATAGGCCATAAAGCTGGGGTACGGCCCAGACAGGATGAACTTCCCTTACATCAATATAAAAACTAGATGCAAAAATGAAAACTATGGCTAGCCTATTTAATATTAGTAGTATTAATAATAATCTGAGCTTATTGTAGGTCTGTTTTATTTATATACAAGAAGGATAAACTATTAACTGTATAGTAACTGTATAAATACAAGACAGTAAGTAAAATAGCTGACAATAGTTAACAACACTGTAGGTAAAATTATAAAAGTACGTACAAAAGACATATTAGAAGTAGAATTTGGCAAAGTGTTAGATTCTCTGAGCATTTATTAGTCTTTTCTGGGTCAGGCATGATTTTTGGGTCTGGTGCTCTTTTTGGGAAGGATTGTCATCATATTATATATGCTTCATCATTTTTTTCGATAATCATGTGTATTGACTTGCCAAGACCATTTTTAGTCTGTTTCACAACAAACCTGGTCAGTGAAACCAACATTTAGCTACTTCGTATCTGAATGCAAGAAAGAGGTTAACAATGTATAATTATTAAAAGGCCATTTTGATGACGACTTTAAAATGCTTCATTTATCATTAGCACTGCACATGTGCAGAAACTTCAGGAAATATTTATGCCCATTTACTGGAAAATTCCCTTGCATTGTTTCCTCATTTTGCAATGCATTCACTTGACAGTTCTAAGAACCGCGAAAAGAAAAGCACAGTTGTGACGACAATTTATTGTGCTATAGGCGAGCAGTAGTTAGTTGACAATTTATTACCCTGTCATTAATAAAAATCCCACAGACCCTTAAAGTGACAGATACTTCCATTTTGGACAGCCCTACAGCAATCACTTAGCAATGGTCAACCCACGCAAGTCATTAGGGTTACGGTTCCTGCCTTACTCAGGTCCTAGTAATCCCCTAGTAATGCTAGGGAAGTTGTCCCGGACCCCAGCCCAGGTGGGAGGGGTTGCGTGTCATGGGGGCTCGGCTTGTGCACATCGGGCCTGACCTTACTGCCTTCCCAGCTCTCGTCCATCCTCCGAGCTACAGAGGGAGCCGAGCTCTTTGACGTCTCCTTATCAGTTGTGGATGTTAGTGTAGGCCTGCAGCAACTGGCTGACCTGGATAACAATGGCCACACCAGCAGCGATCCTACCAGAGATAAGCGATAGTATCACACACAAGCTGCTAGAATTACAAGAAAAAAGGAAGCAAACCGGTGTAAGGAAAAAAAAAACAAAAAAACGCCCAGTTATCTAGCATCCTATAGAAAGGAGATACTTTCTTATGTGATGGGGCATTTTTTTTAATAAGGCCTGGCACTAATGCAGCAGCAGTGAATCTCTATTCATCATTTCCATGCCAGCATGGCTCTCCTTTCCCTTCCACTGTGCACACACTCTCCCCCGTGTCACGCGTAAAAGTTACCTGATTCAGTGATCACAAAAATTAACACACAAATCAAGCAAACTCTGAAATATTTGCAAGCGCTTGCAATTTTTCTAATTTACCGCAACTTTTCTTCTGGAAATGGATAAATAAATAGAGCGCTGAGTCCGGTGATGCCATTCCAGTGCATATTCATGTCTGCTTATTGCTAGGCTGTACTGTGGGGAAGAAGGACACATCTCCTCCATTGTATTCTGTTGAGGCCAGAGGTGTAAAGTAATGAAGCACAAATTCTTAGTTACTATACTCCAGCATCTTTATAAAGATGGAACAAACAATATATAGAGATGCATGATATATCCTGTTAACATACCAATATTACCAGCCTATATTTAAACTTTATGAATATTCATAGTTAGTTAGCAGCACCAGAGCTATAGACAGAACTACTGAAATATTGGAGATGACTGGATTGGACGATCAGTCATTTTCTGCAGTGGAGAAGGAAGGATTTCATTCAGCATCAATGTTTTAAGAGGTCTCAAAGTAACATGTTTATAATTCATCATTAAATCTGGCCTGTAGATTGATCGTTTGTTTTCCACCGAATAAAAAGAACGATGTAATGTCATGCTGGTAATCTTCGCCTGCAAGCCTGGCAAGTTTCACGGCTTTTTCTGAGTAAAAAGAAAGTATCTGCTTGTACTCTTTTTCCTTATTGTGATGCACTGCAATTTACAAAGATGTATTCAAACCTGTTCTGAGTGAATTTAAAAGGTTAGGTTGCTTTTTGTAAGACAGTGGATATAAAAAGTGTACAGACAGACAGACAGACAGACGCCTGTTATAATGGCAGGTTTTCGTGATGTAATATAATGAGACCCCAATAAATCATTTCAAAACTTTCCCCACCGTTAATGTGACCTATAATCTGTACAATTCAATTGAAAAGCAAACAAATCTGTTAGGGGGAAAAAATCTAAAAAAAATTAAAACGTACAATAGGCTGGTTGCATAAGTGTGCACACCTTTAAACTAATACTTTGTTGAAGCACCTTTTGATTTAATTACAGCACTCAGTCTTTTTTGGTAGGAGTCTATCAGCATGACACATCTTCACTTGGCAGAATTTGCCCTCTCCTTCTTGCAAAAATGCTCCAAATCTGTCAGATTGTGGGTGCATCCTTTATGCACAGCTCTCTTCAGGTCACTCTACAGATATCAGTTGGATTTAGGTCTGGGCTCTGGCTTGCCAGTACTTTCATTTTGTTCTGGTGAAGACATTCTTTTGTTGATTTGGATGAATGAGGTCAATTCCTCTTCACCTTCTAGCAGACACCTGAAGGTTTTGGGCCAAAATTGACTGGTGTTTGGATCTTTTTATAATTCCCTCCACCTTGATTGAAGCCCCAGTTCCAGCTGAAGAAAAACCCCAGAGTATGATGCTGCCCCCGCCCTGCTTCCCTGTGGGTGTGGTGTGATTTTGGTGATGCACAGTGTTGTTTTTGGAATTGTGGCCAAAAAGTTCAACCTTGGTTTCATCAGACCGTGACACATTTTCCAAAATGTTTTTCGGAGATTTAATGTATTTTTTGCTAAATTTAGCCAGACCTTGTTGTTTTTCTTTTAATGAAAAAGCTTCCGTCTTTTGAACCTACCACATAGTCCAGACATATGGAGAATACGGGAGATTGTTGTCACATGCAGGCCCGAGGAGAGTTGGGTGCAGCCGGTGCATCGCTCCGGGGCCCATGAAGCTCAAGGGGGCCCCTGAAGCCCAACGCGTCCCATAATTTTTATTATACAGTTATCTCCAGCTATACTGCGGTTCAGCTACTGCGCCCCCGCTGTATTGTGGATTTTTCTGTGGAACAGAATTTTCTATTGCGGAAATCTGCGGTTTTATAGTGATCGTTTTTAATTCAACTTTTTACGTTGAAATAAACATTTTTCTATGCTAAACTATTAATAACAGTAATGTATTACTGTAATTATAACATATATATATATATATGTGTGTGTTTGTGTATATATATATATATATATATACTGTATATAAATAAAAATGGAGTACATCCTACCTGTAGTGTACTTTGCAGCATATTCATAAGAAAGCATACGGTTTTCAGCAGACACTACGTGTGATAGACAAAAATTCGTTAGAACAATATTATAATTTATAATAACTAATGTATACGTAATATTTAAGCAATACACTAGTAAATCATAAAACATACTGCTACGTACAGGAATGCGTAGACATGCAGAGTCGCAATTCATAACGAAATGTACATACGCTTTTCATTTGTCACTATGCGTGCTATAAATATTGTAATTTATAATAACTATAACATAATTAAATATACATATATATTCCATATTATTATTATTATTATTATTATTATTATTATGTTACTCATATCCTTAGCCCGACATCCACATATTATATGTGTTTACAAAGTGTGTATTTTAAGGGTTAAACTATATTTTTAAAAAATATTTATTTATATGTTCTTTCTATATCACAGATTTTCACCTTTCACTGATGGGTCTGTAACATAACTTCGCAGATAGGCAGGGGATCACTGTAATTTGAACATTTATTGATTTAATTCATTTAATTTTTATTGTCTTTTTTGTAATTTGCAAGTCTGTTTAGTTTCAAAATTAAAAAGGCACGTGTGTCACAGGGTACTTGACAGCAGTCAATGCACAAAACCCTGTGAAAGTGACTATCAACGAGTGTTCTCACATGTTCATTCTACGTGTGTGAAATTTTGTATAAGGGCCCACACACCTCTTCGTACCGGGGCCCGGATTTTCTCTCAGCGGCCCTGGTCACATGTACTGTAGTACATAACCAGTACTTGCCAGAAATTCCTGCAGTGTTGCTGCAGGCCTCTTGACAGCCTCCCTGACCAGTTTTTGTCTTGTCTTTTCATCAATTTTGGAAGGACATCCAGTTCTCTGTAACGTCACGGTTGTCCCATATTTTCTCCACTTCTTGATGATTCTCTTCACTGTGTTCCATGATATATCTAATGCCGTGGAATTGTTTTGTACATTTCTCCTGACTGATACCTTTCAACGATGAGATCCCTTTGATACTGTGCAAGCTCTCTGAAAACCATGGCTTTTACCGTAGGATGCAACTTAGTAAATATCAGGAAAATCCTACTAGGACAGCTGAACTTTATTTGGGGTTAATCAGAGTCCCTTTAATTGATGGCAGGTGTGTACCCAAAAATGCCGCTGGCTGAGGCATAGTAACGAGGACAGGTGAATGTACTCTACACAAACAATGGGCATTTTGAAAATTAAACTATACATTTTCCTTTGATGTATATCACTGATGTCATTTGCCACAAGTTTCGAAATGAGAGTTTAGTTTAATAGGACTTACAGTAACTAGATGGAACCAAAATACAGTATTTCCTTTTATATATGACTGAGTCCATGGTTGTTGAATTTAGAAATGAAATATAAATGGACTCTGAAATGTCATTGTTCTATAAAAAGAAATATACAAAGAAAGTAATTATAGGCCTATATGTGTTTAAAAAATTGAATTTGCAATTTTGTCAATTTCTGCAAAATTTCCACAAAAAAGCACATCCCAGAAATGGCAATTCTTTTACAAAAATTGCTGCCAAATCAAGTATTTTTGGCCACAACAACCACAAAAAACCTCCCTGAAAACCCTTAGCGACTGACCATAAGTGACTCTGTAGTTAGGTCACTCTGCAGACAGTGTGTTACTTATGCTGTGCTTTGGGGACGCTGTGAGGTTTGCATGTGAAATCTGTGCAAGGTGGCAGTAAGAGTCAGAATGGCAAAATACATTGTAGGAGTCTGAGGTCTAAAATGCTGCCCATTTCATCCCTTTGATGGGTGCAAATGTTACCTGCTTCTTCGACCACTGACACCACCCCCCCCCCCATCCTCTTGTCAACCCCCTTACAAGGTTAACATTGTGAACATCAGTACGATATTCAACGAGATCCAGTCAGTGCTGGCCGACAACGTCATGGCTACCGATGTCACGGCAACACTGCTTTCAGCCGACGGCGTGTAAGTCTACGCTCTTTCCTGGGTTCTGATCTTTGTGTTAAGTACAGTACAGTCAGCTACATATGAGATATATGACCAGCCTGTGTGAGTTTCAGGGACTGCGGGTTAGGTTAGGTGATCACATGGACTCCAGTTGGAATCTTGTCTTTGGCAGCATGTTCACATGTTCCTTTGGCACTTCATTAAGGCTCATAATCTCCCGAAATGGTGCCAGATAAATGGCCTGGCCCTGTGCTCAGATGCCAAGCTTTGCTCTCAACTGTACATACAGTACGTGTGTCTGAGTCAGAGGAAAGCAAGACTGGATATGTGAAAGGAAGCATTACAATGTTCCACTGTACCTGCATTTGTACTTGTACAGATGAGACAAACAGTAAATGAACCATAATTTAATTTAATTTCAAACTCACATAGTCACCCTAAGCTATGAGTCATACACAGCTCCTCCAATCAACTGCCAGCTTGAAAAAGAAAGCAGGGGTCTGTACTGGAAGAAGCACCAATCAGACACCAGTTAACAGACAGGAAGCACAAAAGGCCAACTTGTCCTCACCCCCCCCCCCCTTTTTTTTTGTCCTTCAAGGTATTTCCCTTATGAAGAGGGGTCGACACACAAACTGGTGAAGAAGCTCGGCAACGTGACGGAAGGAGCTGAGATCACATTCCAGTTTGCCGTTAAACCAGAGAGCATGGAGGGTAAATCGAAAACATTGTTCCTTTCCCACAGTTCCCACACTGTCCGCATCACCCTCAACCTCATACCTCAGAAGCCTTTGATCTGATGCCAGAAAAGTGGATATGTTTCAGAAAACCTTTATCAGGTGTCACGGTCTGTCCTTTAAGGCATTTGGTACCTGGTACACACGGTGCCTTAAAGAGCGGCTGAGCACGTCTCTGCGGCGTGAGGTGTACGTAAGCCTGCAGTACCTGTGCTTGGCTCCCTGATGGGATATTCATTAAACCATCCTCTGAAAAAAATCAAGCTCTTTTTCAGTATTTCATTCATTTCTGAGATGTGTTCTTTAACCTGTAGGACATGGTCTGTGTGCGTTGGGGGATGGGCATTCATGTTTTAGGAAAGGGAGATTAGGGTACAAGACTTTCCACTTGCCTACAATTAATTACTAATGAATTAAAGGCTGGGTTTTCTGTAGGTAGAAAGGTCATAATAGGGACTGTGTTAGGTCCTTATGCTCATCTAGTGTATTTTCCATGTGTGTTGGTCTGTTTACAGTCTGCAAACATCCATGACCTCCCCTGGTCTCAGTGTAAATTAGGCATTACAAAGTGGAAAAAAAGACTGCAAACCTGATGGATACATTTCTGATTGAACTTTTTGCCATTCTTGTTTCTGCTGCTGCCACCCTCCCAATCCAAAAATGTGTTGAGGTTGATTGGAGTTATCAAATGTGAGTGTGCCTTGCGATTGGTTGGTTACCCATCCAAGGTTGTAACCTGCACCCATAGCCTCTGGGATAGGCTGCAGACCCCCCACGACCCTGAACAGGACAAGCAGTTGCAGAAGATGGATGGATGGATGGATGGATGGGTTTTTGCTGCTGGGTCTCATTTGTCCGGCACAAATTCTTATTAGTTGATATCTTTTTTGAGGACTGGCATGTTCTTATGTTCTTATGCCGTTCAGGGTTTCCCTGCTCTGTATCTTGTGCTTCCTTGAATGGATTTCATGCTCTGTACTCTCCAGTTACTAAATAAAAATTTGGATGATGGATGGATGGATGGATGGACATTTATTGTAATTAATAAGACCCTAATATTGATACAGTATAACAGTGTTTTCTGAGGTCCAGAAATGCAGTGAAGACATATTTCCAAGAGTTAGAACAGGCACTGTATAACGTGAATGTTAAAAAGATCTATCCATCCATCCATTTTCTGTACCAGCTTGTTCTATTCAGAGTCACGGGGGTCCAGAGCCTGTCCCAGAAGATACGGGCACAAGGCAGGGAATAACCCAGGATGAGGCACTAAAACATTTAATTAAAAAAAGAACTGACTGTCAAGGCCCAGTGCTTTGTGTTGTTAATTGCTTGGTCTTTCAGAACAGCCCTGCAGTGGAAGAATTATTTTATTGTCCCCGTTAAATGTTAGCTTATGTATGAGCAGCTGTAGCTAATTCTGGCCTAGAAGCTTTGGAGTACTTTGTCTGAAATTAAAAATCATCTCACTTAAACAGCTAGGAGGTTAGTGGGTGAAAGTTTAAGGCCTGGGGAAAACAGTAGGCTTGCCCGTATCTTCCGGTGAGAGAGGGAACCTGTTTGACAGATGCTGAGCTATTCAGACTCTTAAGGCAAGGTTTACAAGAAGAGATTACAAGACGAGGAATTATTGAGGAGGTGATAGTATTTCAGCCAGGTAAAGGTTAGGGAGTGTACTCAGCTGTTTTCACTGCAGTTTAAGTGCAGAATTCTGATGCTGAGCCATTGAGAAATATTGGGTAACGCTTTACATTAACTGCATCTTCATAATGCTTTTATATTGCATTCATAAAACTTTCAGTACACCTTCATAATGCATTCATAATGTATTCATAAAACATTCAGAAACATCATGTATGTATGCCTTAACATCCCTTAACAGGTGTAATATACATTAATAACAAACATTATAATTGTATAATCATGTAATGTTTGTTATTAATGTATATTAAAACTGTTAAGGGATGTTAGGATGTTATGGTATACATACATGATGTTTATGAATGTTCTATGAATGCATTATGACTGCTTTATGAAGGTGCACTGAATGTTCTATGAATGCATAATGAATGCATTATGAAGGTGCACTTAATGTAAAGCATTACCAAATGTTGTCTTCAGTTGGCCTTTGTAGAGACCACTCATTTGGTTTGTATCATTATGTAAACGGAAGGGAGTGAGCACAAACCCATGTACCTTTTTTTAGAGAAAAGGCACAGACAGGCAGTGCCATCAAGATGCATGATAGCAGTCTATCTCAGCTACTGTATGTGAAGTTTCTCTCTCTGTAGAAACTGTGGATGTTGAACAGCGAAGCAGATGAATGACCGATTTGAATTTCGATTGCATTCTGGAGGCAGCGTAGCGTAAATGCAAACGTGCCTTTACGTGTGAACAAATATGGGCTTTTTAATGCAGTATGAATACTATCTGACTTGTGGAAACTGGTTTTTGTTATATGGTATTGTATAATGAATCCATAATGAAATGCTTTGTTTACTTACAATTACAGTTCACTTAAGTGCTAAATTAACTGATGATTAGTGGTCATTTTTATTACAAAAAAATGGGGTTTCTTTCAGGTACTCCAATTTTTAGGTAGGTGAATTGGGGCTTCTAAATAGCCCATAGTATGTAAATGTACACTGACATTTGAAACATAACAATGCAACCTGTTTTAACATATTGCCACATTTTTGTCACCGGGTCCCTATGTTGGGACATAATACCAGATGTTAAAACCCCCGAAAGCCTAGGTGCTAACCCATTTGTCTGCTGTTTCTCTGTATGTGTTTATTTGGGAAGTTTTTCAAAGGAGGGACAGGATCCCTTTCCAGCTGCAGCTGGACTTCAGGACGCGGGACTTGCAAAGAGTGAAACGCATCGTCACAGAGCAGAGAAGAGTCACGACAAGCAGGTGAAGCAGAGTAGTACTGCCGTCGTGTTCGAGGAAAATTCTATTACCCTTATTGATCCAGACAGCAGAGTGTGTGTGTGTGTGTGTGTGTGTGTGTGTTAATCTTCCTGCATAGTTTAGCATTAACCTCTTTCCTTACCCACCTTGCTTCTTGACATTTTTCTTCCACCTCTTCCTGGTGTAGCTGGGTATGGGCAGGCAGCCTGAATATGGCGGTGCTGGGGGTCCACTGTGCCCAATTGTGTGCCCGGCTGACCATGGAGGGACGAGTGCTGGAGGCGCAGCGGCAACTGAAGGCTCAACAGGATCTGCTAAAGGACATCAGGTACCAAACAACGCCATGAATAACCCTGAAATATCACCATATCAAGGGAATCCAGTGAACACATGCAACAATCTTTCCTTATTTATCTCTATGGCAGTGATTTACTTTCTGGGTGTGCCTGTTTACTGCATACATAAAAAAGACACGTGCGGTGTCATTGACTGAGTGCGTCCATGTCTACACAGTGAACAGAGGCCCAGGCCCAAGGAAGAGAGCATTTATGGGAACTGGATCAGCACCATGACCATGATCTGTGAGGATCTGTCAGGGGGGAGCAAGGTCCGTTGCACTAGTTAACTACTCAAGCACCTGTTTATTCAAGTTTTTAACCATGAGGAACAGGGCCATAGTCAGCTATGAGGACACCAAGGTCCGGACCTCGGAAATTTTTTGAAAGCTACAAACCCGCCCCCCCCTCCCCCCCGACTCCACCACCCACCCCCCACCCCCAGGTCCCACACCTTACTCCTTTCCAAAGCCTGACTATGGCCCTGATAAGTAAGAGCCATCAGTTGAGGTGGATATGGCTGTCCCTCATCTATAGGATCTACATAATTTGTTCAATGACCACAAAGAATTCTGCTGTTATCAGTGTTGTTAAGACTTGAAGACTGGAAGAGATTGTTCCCTTTTTCAGAGAAGCTCAGAACTCAAAGGCTTGCAGGCCAGCCCATCTTCCCCAGTCCAGGTGAGCCAGGATCAGCCGTGATGTTGAAGCTCGCAAATGAAGTGAAACGCAAGCCTAGACCATCCAGCTATTTTTATTTTTTTGGATCTCCTGACTGGTGTCCCCTATTGATTTTTAGGACTTGTCAGATGAGGCGGCGAAAGTGGTGTACCAGATGAAGAGAGCAAGGAGTGTGAGTGCCAGGAAGCAGACTGAAGGCAATCTGGAGATGTGAGCACGGGCATAGGAACGACGCTGGGATTACTGAGAATACCCATGGAAAATGGGTAATGAATGTGTGTATGCAGGGAGTCAAATCTAATCTCAAAAACTGCACTGGTTTAACTGCTGTCCACAGAGCAGAAACTGCTTTACATACAGCTAATAACTCAAACTCATCATAGTCTAGGAATACAGTAACAGATTGGGGGGGGGGCTGTGAAGCTTCGTAAATAAACATAACATTTTTTTTTTTAACTTCTTAAATTAAGTTTGAAGTTTCAGGGTTTAAGTAGGCCTGAGTTTCTTCTCATGGTTGGCAGGAGAACATGCTCCAGTCTACAGACACTGGATGCAGAAAGCAAACTGTACATTATATATACTATATTCTTCAGTTCAAACTGAGCACTGATACACATTTAAAAGGAAAAACTACTAATATGAGAAAACTGACACAATGAAAGTCAACAATGTGAACAAGGACATGGCTGTGGGTGGGAATGATCATTTGCCTGGGATTGCTTCTTTTTATCGCCACCCACTCCTCAGAGGGTGTCAGCTTCCCACAAGAGGACCCCCCCCCCCCAATCCTCATGCATATTTTGAGCAGCAGCATGGCCCCAAATGCCCACCCCAGCATGGCGTCCTGATAATGACAACCTACCACTAGAAGATGTTGGATTAGTAATAAGGAATTGACATTTGACCTGTGGTTGCAATTCTCATGAGAACTTACAAATCTAAAGCCAGTGTTAAAAGATTTGAAAAACATCATCCTAGTGCTGGAATTTAATGTGTGAACAAAATTCAGTAAAGTAGTTTTTATCAAGTAGGATGGCTCCACATCCACAAAGTTATACAATGGCCACGTGTTGAACTCATTTTATTTTGTTGTATCATGGTGAAGTTTCGCATTTGCTTTAGCATTGTAATGATTGTAATTAGTTTCCTTGTAAAGTGATCAGTAGTTTCGCAGCCAAGGTTCAACAGGGGCATGTTTATCACAGTCGTCACATCCCTGCTGCCTTTATGTTTACAGGGACTCATCAGTGGGAGTTTGACATTTTGTGCCTTGAGGGACAGAACTTGAGCCACAACATTCCTTCACTATCTCACAACATCTGGGCCTAAGCACCTAAGAATAGGCAATAATTCATCATTCTGAATTATTTGACATTTCTATTTTTGGTCATATTCTGACCACATGGGTGCTCATACACGCATGAGGTTACAGAAATCTTTTTGGGTTAAATGTCACCTTAGCCTCTTCTTATTTCAGCTACTGTCATTTAACTTTTTATTTACTTTTTTATTCCTATTTTTTAGTTTTTTTAGGTTAGAGAGTGGCACTTCCTCTATTCTGTTACTGATCATTATCCAAGATATCTTAGATTCTTAGGTTCTGTTTTGCAGACACCTACTTAAGAAGTTCATGAAAAAGCTACCCACATAAGACAGTCCAATTTACCCTTCATATTATGTGCAATGATACTACAAGCCAGAAGAGACAGAATTCTCCCAACATGTTGGTAGCTCCCACCAATGCAGAAAACATGAAGATTTTCTCTTAATACCAAATTTAAGTCACTGCATTTGTAAAAGAATGGCTAACATTAGATGCCAAAGTGAAGCACACATCCTCTGCACTGTCATAAAAAAGAGTAGCAATTTGTACCTTTGCTTGTCACTGGGGCTGTACCCTCAAGGGAAAATATACCTTTCAAGATACAAAAATGGACTATAAGGAAGAGTTTTGTACCACTGAGGGCACATTTGGGGGCACATTAATGTTGTTTGTACCTTGGGGATGTTCCTCAGAGTACACTTAAATTAGACTAAAGTGTACATAAACCTACAGATAGGGTACAAATGGCAGACACTTCAGGGCACAGCCCCAGTGATAAGCAAAGGTACAAATTGCTACTCTTTTTTAAAAAAATTTGTGGACCAAAAGCCCATAATTTTTGGTCAGAATTTGTCACAGTTGAATGCCTGTTGTTACGATCTGAATGCAGCATACACGGCCACATCCCATTTAAAGCAGCTAACCCATTCATCAGTTTGGCCACATTTCTGAGTGTCATCCTCCACGGTTTCTCAAAAGACGGAACAAAACATCTCAACTTGTCAGTATGCCATTTCTGTTCAAGATGCCGTACTGACTCACTTGGGTCCAGCTGAGACATACCTCCCATAACATACTTGGGGGACATCTATAATGAGCGAATTCCATGCTGCTAATGAGCCGGAGTTATACAGGAGATAGTCAGAGGTATGCACGAGCAGAGAACATGGACCGATCAGACTTTGTATGTGTGGCTGGACTGGACAGAGTCTCCAGATAACGCTTGTTGTTTATCAGTGGCTGCTGTCTCCTAGCTTTGTCCGAGCAGTTCAGCACCCCCTCCAACCCCCAGCCCCTGCTCTGAGTTCTTTATTATTGTAATTGCTTGTTTTGCTGGTGGAATTCCTTTGAGTTTAATGGCTGAAACTATTCGATTTAATATGTGACAGAATCAAGATGTGTACTATCAGCACTGGGCAGAATTCTATGAGCAAGTGCATATATACCTGAATACTGAATACACAGTCTTGAAGGTATTCAGTACTTTATTCAGATACAATACTTAAAATGTGTATCTTACTGAGAATCCTTTTAGAAACTGTAACATATGTATGAGTGCAAAGAGTGTTTCGTGATTGGATGTCATAGTTTTTATTAAACAGATTATTCTTTAAAATATCTGATCATACAAGCAAATCAGTGAGAGGATATTTATGTACAAGAAGTGAAGAAAACAATGACACAATATGTCTAACCACAGTTAACATTTAAGCAATGCAGACTTATATTTTGCATTTTTTAAGTTAAAGTATCGGCTGAAAATTAAACAGGCAGAACTTTAAATCTCATGAGGTTGCTGGTGCATAGAGTGTGAGGAGACAGAGTCCTATATTTTTTAGATTAAATTATGAAATTACTTTGAAATGAGTAACTCATTACTTTCATTTTATTGTCATTTAAAAACATATTTTCCCTATTCTTTGAAAAATTCACTGTTATAAAATGCATCTTCTTACCTCAATTTTACCAACCAGTTGCCATTAAATTTCACATAAAGAACAAGCTTTGCTCCTGTTGTTCTTCAAGTACAAGGGTACTTAACATTACTCGTTAACGACCGCAACATGATGGTCCTTTATACTATTTGAAAATGTTTACATACTGAAACATAAACACGAAGAGCAACCCATTATACTTCAAATTAATGTATGCATAACATTTAATCAAAATACTGTCAATAAATTTAGAACATGCAGTGGTGCTTGAAAGTTAGTGCACCCCTTTTAATAAATTTTCCTTTTTTATATTATCCCAGCCACCTCCCCTCTGTTTAGAAGACAGCTTTATTCATAATTTACCATAATAATTCAATACATTAAGTGAAGCCACTCAAACCCTGCCCTCCCCAACCCACCCACTGTTATAACACGATGGTACCCAAATAGACAGATTTAACATGGCAGACAAGACACAACATTGTAAGACCATACAGATTGATGCAGACAGAGAAGCCAGGACAAGACAAAACATAATTAGATCTTGACACAAGTCCTAAACGTAGGTGAGAACACAATTGAACAAATGAGACTAAATATCATACTTGGTCCTCTATTTATTAATGATCAATTGTCACAAATCTATGACTGGCAAAACTATGTGAATCTTGCAGGTTATTTGAAGGTGAGATTAGAGTCAGATGTTGCTAATCAGTGTCAGGGTTGTCAATCAAAGTGATGACAATCAGGTGTGAATAGGCACCCTGTTAATTTTAAAATAACAGGCTTCTATCTAGGGCTGGGAGAATGACAGAGGTTTTATTAAATCAAAACTAAACAGCGACTATAAAACAAACAGGACTGCAAGGGATCAAAAACAGTTAGACTTGTACAGGGAATAATAGAGGCAGGGAAGGAAACACTGGAGGGAACAATCGGGCCACCAGGCCAGTGCAGGAGGATTCCATGGGTTCTTTCCTTCGGTCCTCAGCAGGAGAGTTCCTCGGGCCGACAACATCAGGAAAACGAGAGTCGGGGCAGCCGTCATGGAGAGTGAACCCCCGTCTCCCACTCTGAGAGATGGAGAGTCAGCCAACCCCTCGTTGGGGCCCCAGCAGACACGTCTGACCATACTGGGGCTCCAGATCAGGTCAATGTGGACTTCAGGCTGAGGTGGGGGCCCATGCAGACAGACTTAGGGCGAGATCCAGAGACTCCTCTTCCAAGTCCTCTAGCTGGACTTCGTCTGGGTATACTCACCCTGGCCTGGTGGCAACCTTCAGGGAACAAAGAGGGCGGCAAGGTGACGCCAGGAGGCGAGGCGGGCACAGACAGGACACCAGTAGGTAAGGTGGGCACTGATGGAACAAACGGAGGCGAGGCGGGCACCGAGGGGACACCTGGAGGCGAGGTGGGTGCAGCCGGGACACCTGGAGTGACCTCAAAAGTTCACTGCAGGACAGAATGGCTGCTGCGAGACTGGGCCTGGGTGATGTGGCCCCTCTCGGGCCGGGAGCTGTGGACTTGGGCAGAATGTCCTTCTCTGGGCCAGGAGCCTGAAGTACGGACCTTGTGGGTGAGACTCATGAGACTTAGGTGCGGTGGCAATGGCTTCCCTTGGGCGAGGCTCTGGAGGCATGGTGACGGCCTCCCCTAGGTAGGGCTCCAGAGGCACTGGGATAGGCGAGGCGGCAGCTATGGGCTGACCAGCTTCACGCAGTGGAGAGGCGGCAGGCTGACCAGCTTCATGTGGTGGAGAAGCATAATGCTTATACAGGGAAAGGCACAGACAACGGGAATGTAGACGCTAATAACCGGACGGGAATAATGAGACAAACAGGTGCTTAAGTACAAAGACTAATAAGGGGCAACAAGTAACAGGCGTGACTCATCAGGGCCACGTTAGGGAGAAGACATGAAGGTCAGGTGTACATGATGGCCAGGACGTAACAAAAGCGTTACACAGAATTCAGCTAAAACTGTTTAAAACAAACTAAAGTAAGCTAAGGGATTTTTTACAGGTGCTATTTAGTGAAGAAACCCTTCTTGTGTTGCAGGCCAGTAGCCAAAAAACAAAATTTTACTAAATTTAGCTGACCAGGGTGGGCAAATTCATATTTTTACTACATGACTAGGTGTCATGTTGCTGACAAAACTTTTCAGAGGGTGGGGGACTTCAAACCTGTTATAATAGTATGTGGCTGCTGTGGTGTTATTATTATTTTTAGCAGTAGCTTTAAAAGAACTACTGGCACCTTTAAGATGATGTCATGAGGCAGCGCCAGGGACAGAGGCTCAGGAAGCAGCAATCAAGAGAGTTCATGTCTCCTCTACAGTCGGACTCATGTGCGTTACTTTCGATGCCTAGTGTCTTAGCGGCGGGCCTGTCTGCGGTCGGGCCCAGGGTGTAATTGTACCATATATACCCCCAGTACAACCAGCCCTGATTACCACTAACAAGGATAAATTTGTGGTAATCAATGGTAATTAGCCACAAATAAAGTAATGTTCATCCTTGGCTGGAGGTAAAAAAAATCATACCATACTAAATCAGATGGAAATGAGTATGTCCAACAAAGGAAGGCAGGTAAGGTAAGTAGTAAACGGTCTCTCATTTAAGTAACAAACTGGCTCAAATAACCGCCACGAATGAGAAACTGAACTGGCAAAATAATAATAATAAGTAATACCACTATTCTATTATGATAAAACACACACACAAACAAAAGCACTGATACAGATGTCAGTTCCTGCGCATGCTAACCAGTCGTTCCGCTTGTTCAGTCACTGCTTATCTCACCATCTCTTATGTTGTATTGAATACAGTGTTATCGCGAGTCAAAAGTATTAAAAAGCATAACAATTCAGCTGAAATTTAGACATTAAATACCATTAAAATGTCATAAATACGATTCCTTTATTTAAAAAAAAAACACAGTTTGACCAAAAATTAAAAAATTGTGTGTGATATTTAGGCATAGCGCCTATGTGAAGTAATAAGGTAAGTGGAGACAAGTCACGTAAGATAGCTTAACGTGGTAAAGTTACATTCGAAATTCAGTTAACAGGTAGTCAAAGTTTTTGCTGGCCAGATTTAATAATAAAGTATAGATATGTCACAGGCCAAATAAATAAAATATTGTGCCATTCAAGTGGTGAAGAGATCATGAGGCAGACAGTAAAGTTCATTTTTAGTAGATTTATTGTGCACTTGTTAAAATGACAGGGGTAAAACAGCGAGTGTGAATAAACTCACACACAGACGGGGGAGCCGCTAGGGAGACAAAATGTCGTAAAATAGCTTAAAAGAGTATGGATGTTATTTGCCGAAAATAAGATATTTTAAGTTAAATATTAATTTGCGTTAAAACACTTATAATTAACATAAATGATGGAGCGTTACATGCAGTTTTTATTCCGTAGAAAACGAAAGACCGATTTAATAATAAATTATAAATAGGTCGAACGAATAAAATATTGTGATGCTCGAGTAGCGAAGAGATCATGAGGTGGACTGCAACGTAAAGATTTTAGCGGACTTTTATTGCACAATCTTTATAAGGACAGCAGTGAAACAGCAAGCAAGAATAAACTCACAGACAGATTTGGGACTCTATATGGAGACATAAGCGGATACAGGCAATAGAGACAGGGCGCGACGAGTCACTATGAAAATATTTTTTCGGTTCGGCAGCTTATAAAAACTTCAAATTCAAATCAGATAAAAATTAAAAAAAAAAAAGAAATACAGATTAAACTTTTCTTTACATTCACTTCCGCCTAAGTAACATTTCTGTTCCTTTTTGAAACAGGTGGAAATGCAGGCAGGTTCTCAAAAGGCACCAAGTGAGAACCAGCCCAGCACTAGCACCAGCATTGGCTCCATGTTGGTAGAAACGAGGCAAGTGACCCTGGATAAAGACTCTCTGGGCCTGTGCTGTGTTTCACCCAGGGGGGCAACTGTCAACTCGGCTCCGATGAGGCTGGGCAGAGGCTATCAGACCAACCTATCAGTGACCTCACCTCCACTGAACCCCCACTTAAGAAGAAAAAGCCCACAGGCAGACTCGCTGATCACAAACACGTCTTGCCCTCTCCCCCCTCCCTTCCTGTTCACCTACCCCTCTCCCAGGTACAAAATTGGTCGCATAGAAATCCAAAATAGGAAAAGCATTATCTAATATTAATGTAATCAATGTATATACTCTTGCTTGGTCCCATCTGAATGTTCTCAGTGTAACTGATATAATAGTCTCAGTCTTAAATCAACATATCATAATATCATGAAGATCTAGAGGATTTGAGAAACCGCTATCGTTTGAAACACAGCGAACAGCGAGAAAGGAAATAAAAAGCAGTAGAAATAAAAATAGAAAAACGTAAAATGGAAGGATGGACAAACAAGGAAACACAGGCTTTAATCACCATATGGTCGGATGAACAGATCCAGCGGGATTTGGATGGCACGACTCAAAATAAAAAAGTATTTGCCGTAATAGCAAGCCACTTGGAAGAAATGGGGCACATGCAAAACACCGAACAATGCCGCTTGAAAATCAAAAAACTTAAGCAGGATTACAGGAAAGTGAAGGATCATAATAACAGGAGTGGCGCCAACAGGAAAACCAACACATGGTTTGAGGCACTGGACGCCATTTTGGGCCGCAGGTGCTTCAAAAAGCTGGTTGACTTAGCTACTAATTATAAGAATCAACAACACCAGTCTCAGCACGTCTTCCATGTTTGAATTCAGCAAAAGAAATACCGCGCCACACTTTGTGATGATGTCAGTCAGGGGCGGTCACTGATGATGTCATTTGGCGCCGGTACCAGCTTTTACGCCAGTGGAAAACCGACACAAAAGAAGTACTATACTTTTGGTACTTTATGGAAGTACCAAAAGTACTAAAAGTACGGTGCCTGGTGTGGTGGAAAAGTGCCCAAAGACATCGCACCCTAAAAGTCTAAGTAAACAGTAAACAAAACATCAGAGCAGAGTGGTGTATCACCATCTTCAAAAAAAAAAACGCATTTCTTGGGTTGGTATTTAACAAAGGGTCCACAAGACAGTTGGGTGTACATTCTGCAGCCAGAACCTGCACATGGAATGTGTGATTAGCATACTCACCATGTGTAGCCTGTACTAAAAATCATTCAGTAATCAGAGCTCCCACATAATGCTGCACAATTAGCATATTTACTCAAATCTGTGTCACAATCACCATGTGCGTATTTTGCTGGGGTATGTATCACTTTGTCTCTGTGCTGTCTTGTAGGTGTATAATGTAGTTATGTTCGGGCGCTTTTCCACCGTACCAGGTACCGTACTTTCAGTGCTTCCATGAAGTACCAAAAGTATGGTACTTCTTTTGTGTCGGTTTTCCACTGGCGTAAAAACTGGTACCGGTGCCAAATGACATCATCAGTGATTGCCCCTGACTTACATCATCACAAAGCATGGCGCAGTATTTATGCTGCATTCCATTTGCCTCGGGATCCGATTTTCGAATCCAATGCATAAATATGGATAGGGAATTTTCCAATAGATAAATATGGATAGGGAAGCAAAAACGTATTCATTAATGCATTAAGTTTAAATTAAGTATATTTTCTGCTCATTTTCTGCTCTGCTACTTACTGTATATCTGTTTTCTACACTTCTGCGTAAATTCCACGATAGCGCGGTGTGGTCAACCAATCAGCAAGTTTATCGCTATAACATGAGGTCATGCACATGAGATCAAGGGCTAGACAACAGATACTTTATATGGAGACTTGCCAAAATCTGGACAGGGGTGTGAATTACTTATGGTAGATTGCTCTCAGTAATATGTGACAATGATGGACGGCGTTCACATTTTCATGTCATTATTAAAAATATTCTGCCAGTGACGTAAAATATTCAGTTAGTGCGACATCCGGTCATGACACAAAGTAATACCATTAGCGTTTCAGTGGTTTGTTGGATTTACAGAAATTACTCCGCAAAGACATGGATTAGTAATTATAGGCACCTCGCAGTGTATAAGATTTGGAAATTAAATGTAACTCATTTTATGGAAAATGAATATACAGTATATGACTTCTGAGGATTCATAATTTCCAGATGCTTTTGTGACATTGAGACTAAGCTGCTGTTCATTGTGGCCATGTTACCATCCTCTACAAAGTATTAACCTTTTCTTTTAAAGCTGGTTTTACATAACAGTCACTTTATGTCACTCTGACATACTGTTCAGTCTTATAACTTTTTATGTCACTTGAATGAAAAAAGGGTCATAACACAACTTTATGTAGCATAAACTTATGACGGTTGACATAGGGGTTGCCATTATCAGCAGTTATGACAGCTGCAAAACTTTATAAACGAACCTAAAAATGCTTTTGACAAGATATGTCAGCTGTCATGAAGGGCTTATGTTGGTGTCATGCAGCCTTAAGTACTGTGTTACTGATTCATTTTACTTTTAACTACAGATTTTAATTAGCCTCATTCTCTTATGAAAAAAATCTACGTATGTCTGATAAGGAACACTTTTTTTTCAGTTGCAAATAACATGTTGTACCTGTCAGTCAGGCGGGTTTGTCAGATTCCTGGGATTAGGCGGAGTCTGGCCAGTACACATAAACAGGCATGCAGTCTCCCGCTTCTCCTTTGCCTGTGACAACAGACGTCCCCTCCGCACGCTGCTGAGCTCCAGCTCCAGCTCCAACAGACTGTCCCAACGTCCTCGCAAGGCAACACCTAGGAGACCAGACAGCGCAGAAGATTCAGGTACAGGGCTGCTGCTTGGCTCCTTATGCTCAGTGTTAAGTTTGTTGTAGTTTTACGTGCACTTCAGATATATAGAAAGTGCTTCATGTGTATTTCAGTTGTTGACATCAGTGGCAAGGTGTTTTGCTGTGTTATTTCTAATGGTTGTTTCTTGGATAAATGTCTTGCACATCCATACATCCATCTGCCATAACTGCTTATCTAGTACAGGATCATACTGTCTTTGACACATCATAATGTCAAATATAAATCGCCATGTAACTCCTGCTGCCCTTTCAGCTAATGGTTTGGCTAAATCACTTCAGTGCAAGTCCAGTGCGCTGCACACAATTAAATTGCATTAATTGGATGTGTTAATGCCTTCGAAGGTGCACCCAACCCTGTGCTGCCTGGTTGTTCACAACCTCGACTATAATAAGCAGTTAGAAAATGGATGGATGTCGGTGATACAAAGAAGCCCCAGTGTATTAAAGTGGATGAGAGAGGGATATAGGTCTATCGAAGGAACAAACAGGCACGCTTAGGTTCACTCAAAAAAACTTTAATACAAGTAATACAAGATAACTTCGCATTAAAATCAAGATCAATATATCAATTAAAAGCAATGCAAAATAACCTTGTACCACAAGGGATATAGAATAGCATATATCACACGAACTAAGGTATATATAAAAGAAATAATGAAATATAGACAATGCAAATTATTATCACGATCGGTGATAATTAATCCCCATTAATCGATTAAACGTATAAGCAGCTGCAAAACTATTCACACTCGGACGTGCCATCATCACCCACCTTCACACACGGACTGGGGAGCCCTTTTCAGTCCTGGCAGGAGACCAACACGTGAGTCCCGAGAAAGTGCCGGGCGATGCGCGCTCTATCCCACGGCTGAGCTCCGGTCAGTACTGGAATCTCCCCTTTCCTTTATACTAAATTTAGAGTTGCGTGTGGGCAGGGGGTAAGCTGGCCAGGCTCACCCCTTCCCCCCAGGCAATATGTACTCCAATTGCCCCTTTTGTCCGAGTGATGCTGCTTGCGATAACATACTACAATAGGCGTCCTTGCGCAATGCCTCCCTGTTCCCCCCTAAAGGCATTATAGGGTGCTGTATACCGACCCCCCCTATCTCCTGAAACCAAGATAAGAATTCTGCATGCCGATCTAATGGCCCAGATTAGCACCCTGGTTTCTTTTTATGAGCCCAAGTTATTTATGGCAAAATTAGGTTTTACAGGGGATCGGTAAATAACGTGTTCATGCAGTCTAGTAACATTTGGGGTGAATCATGGACAATTGATCTGAATTTCAGGATGATCAGTCCACACGCGATCAGAATTAATCCACAATTACAACTTCCCAAAATATTATAGTAAAAGGATTAATTCCATGTCACATGGGTGACGTAATCGTCCGCGAATTCATCCTAATACACCCAGTCATGCCTGTTTTGCTCTGTCTGTCTGCTCAGGATGGCCCTGTTGCAGAGCTTCCTGTCCGCTGAGCAGTTCCAGTGCTCCATTTGCCTGGACATCTTCACCAACCCCGTGTCCACCCCATGTGGCCACAGCTTTTGCATGGCCTGCATTGGAAGGTACTGGGATGAGAGCAGAACCTGCCAGTGCCCTCTGTGCAAGGAGATCTTTCGTAACAGACCCGACCTGCACATCAACCGAACCCTCAGGGAGATCACCGAGCAATTCAAAGTCGCGGCGGGCTTCGGGGCTCGCAGCCACAGCCGGAGGGTGTCCTGTGCGAGCCTACCAAAGCCAGACGAGCTGGCCTCTGTTGTCTTTGCAGAGGCGCGGTCCCGATGGACCCCATCACACAGCCAAGTTGCCGACAGCTACATACTTCCGGCCTTAGCTCCCCCGGTCCCAGACGAGGCCCAGGAACTCCTGGTTCAAGCCTCAGGTTCTCGGTTGGCTCTAAGGAGGTTCACGTTGGGCGGGTCAGACTGCCTGCACACAACACTGAACCAGAAGCACCAGCAGTGCGTGGAGCTGTTCTGCAAGAATGACAAAATGTGCACCTGTGAGGGATGTGCAGAGATGAACCACGCAGACCACGATGTCATCTTCTCTGAGAGAGAGGGGCTGCTTAATAAGGTGCATCTTTACATAAACCCTTCATTAAAGAAAAGATAGTTATTGTTTTGTAGCGATAATTTTCAAATGTCCTGAACATATATTTAATAAGAATTATAAAAATTATAAATTGTAACATTGTTGTCTATAGTCTCTGTTAGGAATAACCAACAAAGAAATCCAGGAGATGATCCAAGACAGGGTGAAGAAGGTGGAGGAGATACGAACATCCCTGATGGACATCAAAGTAAGCACCCTTCTTAAGATTTCCTCAAACCCACTGAACACTGATGCATTAGAGAACACTAGTTCACTCAGATGATTATCAGTAGTTCTGCAATCCAACAATGCTGGAAATCAGATCACCACACAGTTATGAGTTTCTCATAAAAGGGGGGGTTTAATATTTTACTGAAAGTACTTTTTACAACATTCATAAGGAAGTTGATTTGATGTATTAACAGACATAAGCAGTATAAAATGAGATTTTAATGCTACGGGAATTTATTAAAATTGCCCCCACCTTCTGGCCCATCCCTCATGTTCCTGATCAGGAATCTACAGAGACAGAAATGCTGGGCAGCCTGCAGGTCTTCAGCACCCTGGTCAGCGCTATCCAGAGAAGTCAGGCTGAGCTGCTCGAGATCATCGAGATGAACCACCAGGTGGCTGAGCGCCAGGTCGTGGGCCTGATTCAGGAGCTGGAGGATGAGATCGAAGAATTACAGAGGAGGGGTGATACCCTTAAGCAGCTCCTGCCCTCTGAAGACAATGACTTTTTGCTTGAGGTCAGACAGATTTCCTTTGCTGACTGATGTGTTGTGGCAGTTGCTTTTAAAATCAGTGTTTCCCAATCCGGTCCTCGGGGCCCAAAACCGGTTCAAGTTTTTGCTCCCTCTGAGTTCCCTGCCAGACAGTCCACATTTTTGCTTCCTACCAGGAGCTGGGAGGGAGCGAAAACATGGACTGTCTGTGGGTCCCCCAAGACTGGATTGGGAGACACTGTTTTAAACTATTCCTGCAAGACATGGTAGAGCATTTGCCAATTAGGATTATTATTGCAGTTAGTTCATGAGAGTCCTTTATATCACGGAAGAGGGAACTTCTGAATCTTTCTATCCCTTAATTAAATGTCCATTTTAAGGAGTACTTTGCTTTGGACATCATAGTGTTTAAAATATTTGTTTTGCTGTGAAACTTGACCAACTTTGAAACCCCCCCACAGACTAAGGACTGGTCCAGCATATCGGTGAACCCTGACATCTGCGTTGTAAAGGTACACAAGATTGTTTCAAGGCTGGTGGAGCGCTTCCAAGAGGAGCTGAAGAGGCTCCCAGAGATAAGTAAGCGTGTGGTGCATTTTAAAAATGTATATTATAAATCCTCCCAAGAAACGTGGCCATTTTGCCAAAGCTTAACCTGAGATTCACAATTAAAAGACATTCAATATTACGTTTGAAGTGTAAGCTGTAAAACCTGATACAGATAAACAGGTGTGGCCAATAATATTTACTTTATAGCACGCCTGATGGCTTCCTTCCTGAACTGTATCTCGGTATAGAAGGAATGTGTCAAAATAAGTGTACAATAGGTCACGATTCTGAAATGCAAAACAAAAAATAAATAAATGAAAGGAGCTGGTAATGTAAACCACAGTTACCTTTGTTCCACATTGTTGCATGCATCTGCTCTTGGCTTAAATCACAGCATGTTTGAATATTGGATTCATGTTTCTATTTGTCTCTGCTTTTTAAAACAACAATCAGATGCACCATAAACATGAGTTCCTGTCAGTGTGAAATGTCTTAGTTATAGCTACGCTTTCTCTTTAAACAGGTTTACGGGCTACAGCGGACTCCTCCTCACTAACATCACAGCCAAGTAAGCCAAAGTGCCAAACAATACAGGAACTCTTTTCATCTTCAAACTGTCACCATAGTTTTTACCTCAGGAATGTCATTAGAAGTCTCTCTGTAATCTTTCTCATAACAGAAGTGATGTGGTAGGCAGGATGTGTAAATAAGGAGTCTGTGTTTTTCTTTATTTCAGAGGCTAGGAAGATCCAGGAATATGCAGGTCTGTATTCTTCTTTCAATCTCCACTAGTTGTTTTAGCGTTTCCTACTTTAAGCTCAGACGTGACTCTCAGCCTTCTTATGGCTTTTTGTTAAATCATCATGACATTCTGGAGTGTAAAATGTTTTACATGAAATCAACTAGTTATTTTATAAAGCACTATTACACGTGGAAGTATCTTAGGCTCTTTCTGAGAAAAAGCTGAAAATTACTTTTTACATGTGCTGTTTCTCTGATGCTTTTCTTCTTAAAGTGGATGTCAGGCTGGATGCCAGCACAGCTCATCCCAGGCTGATCCTGTCTGAGGACAGGAAGCAGGTGTGTTGTGGAACCAAAACCCAGAAAGTCCCCGACTTCCCGCAGAGATTCAACCGCATTTTCTGTGTTCTGGGCCAGGAGGGCTTCACATCGGGTCGGCACTACTGGGAGGTGGAGGTGAGGGGCAAGACTGACTGGGATTTGGGTGTGGCCAGTCAGTCTGTAAACAGAAAGGGTAAGATCACGGTCCACCCTAGCCATGGTTTTTGGTTCTTAAGCCTGAGGGATAAAAGCAATTATGGGTTTCAGACCAGTTCATCCAGCTCCCACCTGAGACCCCAGAAAATAGGTGTCTTCCTGGATTACGATCGGGGCCAAGTCTCTTTTTATAATGTGGAGGCTAAATTGCACATCTACACTTTCCACGGCACCTTCTCTGACACCATCTACCCCTTCTTTTGCCCCTGTAGCAATAAATCGGGGAAGAATGAAGCCCCTCTTATCATTACCCCCATTGTAATGACAGAGTAAAGTTGCACTGAACTATATGTTTACACTTAAGACTTCAAACATAAGTAGCACTGTGTATTTTTACTGTATCCACACTCCTGTCATAAAACCAGATAATGCACTTTGAAGGGAAATGCATTCTGGCTGGCATTTAATTATGTTATACTTTGAGTAATGAATATAAATGAAAATATTTATTGTAAATAAGTCAACACAGAAAACATTGAAATAATGTTTTAAAACTCACTCTCTCATTGCACTGCAACATATATTCTTTTTCATGGTTTCCTGTATATAGTTGTTAACAATGTTTGATAAAATCTCTCTTTTCCTGGCTACTGTTCAAAGGACTTCAAAACTGTTATAGTCACTGTAATAATCTTGATCAAGCCTTCTTATAATGTAAAATATTATACATCTGTCATGTTTATGTGTTATGTTTATTTCCACACACACATATATATATATATAAAATTTTATTCTTTTTCACCTGATTTTTACTTGGTTATTGTGCTATTGTCAAGTCCAACCACCTGTGTACCTTCGGATCCAGAATCCAGCCCAGTTTCCAAAGAACCGGTTAATTAACTGCATTTACTGGCACTGTATGCCTTAAATACTCATACCATCATGCCTATTATCAGGTTGCAAAGTATCTTGAGTTTCACCGAGCAGAGCAGTATCTTCCTGTATTCTTGCTCATGTGTACCCACTTTGAGTACATGTAGTAATTCGGTTTTGGTATTTTCCTTTGATCGTGTTACAACCCCTGCCTGTCTTCCCGGGTTTGATGCTTGGATTGTGTTTTGTGGCCCTCAATAAACGAATATGGACCTAGCACATGAACTCAGATCCAGTTCATCACAGTAATGGGTGAGGGGAAGACATGTTACAATTTGATTACGATTAATTTTAGCCATTCCTGTTTGGGATAAAAGTGAGAAAACCATGAAATCAGATTAACATAAATTTTGATTATTATTATTTTCATATGCTCTTCACTGTTCCAGTATGTTTGTTTGCACTGCAAGTGCTGCTGTGTAAAACTTCTCCTGGATTTCTCAGGGCAATAAAAATCACAAAAAATACTTCATAACCTAAAAGAAATCAGGCAACACATCTGATTTATAAGAGGGTACCAGGGTTTTGTTTCTCAGAGGGTGTAAATATATGTTATAATTAGGAAACCTGTAGTTCAGCTCTCTGGTGTAAAAAATAAATGAGGTTCTAGAACATGTGCTAATGTCCTCAGTACCTATCCGGATGGGACCGCATTGCAGTTTTTCTCGATTGCTTTGGCACATTTCATGAAACTTAACATTCTCACCACTATAACAGTATTTCTCAAAACAATGTATGCATATGGCACAACACTGTGGTTTAGATGCACAACCATAACTTCCCCAAAACAATTAATCCATGTCCCAAAAGCAAAGAATTCTATCAATGAATTAGTCAGTGCCACCAAAAGTACAATTTTTTCGATCCCGAAAACTGTCACTAAAAATACAAATAACATACAAGCTGCTTTAACTTAGATGATCTTATTGTCATATACCCATATATGCTGTTTTAAGCTGCCTGCACTTACTTTATGGTAAGTCCATCCTTGATTGTTGTGTTTGTGAGCAGCTAAATCGAGAAGGTGCGTAGGTACCCGTATACCAATTTTTCCCATACTGTTCAGACATTATTTCATGCTATATGGTGTTTTCAAAATCAACACTATTAAGGCATTTTTTCAATCACAGCGAAAGAATTCATAGACTGACGGGGGGGAGGGATTTTGTTGTAATTTCAAAATAACGCGATATTCCGTATTACTTTAATACTACAGAAACGTAGAAAATCAACTTTAAAACTTTATAAAAGTTGACCCATTTCGCTACACTGCTTGTGTTATTGGCAATACATCAGCCCTCTCCTGTGGCCTGTACTACGAAGCGGGGTTACTGGTTTATCGGGATAACGTGTTGGATTTAAGGTACCACAGTTTAAATGGACTCGATATTCGTTCACTTACATTTTGCACAAACTACCTTAAATCCGTCAAGTTACCCCGATAAGCCAGTAACCCCGCTTCGTAATACAGGTCACTGGTTCGGTGGAATATCATTCCTATATGCATACGCCGACTGCAACCTTCGGCGTCCACAGACCAACGTAATAGACCACGAAAGTCTATTACGTAAACCGTAAGCGCATACGAAAAAGTGAAGCGTCGCTCTTAGTCGGGAAAAAGTTTCTGTTCTGATACAATAAACAGCGACCTCTGGTGAATTTCAGACGTTAAAACAGGCAGCCTGGATGGTTTCAAAATGTCCCAAATAATATAACTTTCCCTCTTTCCGGTAGGTTCCATTACTCAACACTGAAATCCAACAACTAGTGAAACACTGTCCACACAGCAGTGATGTTTTGCTTCTTTATATTCAGACCAACACCACAATTGTATCGGTCATGTGATTCCCCTAGAAATTATATGAGCTTCGATAAGGGGCTTCAGTTGTAGTCATCATCTGTATCTGATACATGTTTATTCATGTGTACTGCATTCATCAGTACTGCCTGGGTCATCATTAGCGTTAAGTCATGGGTAGCATCCATTCATTGAATTCAAGGGTTTTACATGTCACATGCACGGTATACAGCCAGACTATAATCTGCAGTGAAATGCACAGTGGTTACCTCCGCCATAATAAAAATAGTGAAAGCAGTAAGCCAGAAAAGGTAATAATGTAATTAATATAATAAATATGGAATTGAGTTATACAGAAAAAAGACCAAAGATGTGCAGCAAGTTCAAAAAAAGTGTGAGATGCATAAATAAGGGGCAAAAAGCTATAACTAAAATTAAATATTTAGTAATCTGATGGCTTGAGGGTAGAAGCTTCTTCTGAGCCTCTCAGCTCTTACTGAGAGACAGCAGAAACATTTAGTGAAGTGGTAGTTGTTTAGAGTGGAATGTGTCCCTGTTGATTTTGGCAGCTATGCTCCTGCATCATCTGAGGTGTCCTGCAGGGAGGCCAAGTCAGCTTTGCAGATGCCTTCAGCTGAACATACCACCCCTTGCAGAGCTTTGAGGTCCAGAGCAGAGCAATTACCAAATAAGGCTGTGATTCCCCTAGTAAGGATGCTCTCTTATGCTCCAGAGTAGACGGCTTTGGGAATGGCTAGTGAGACCTCGAACCTCCTCAGCTGCCTAAAACGGATGACCATTGCAGGACTTTATGTGATTCTGTATGTGATTGGACCATGTGAGGTCATCAGTGATACAGACTCCGAGACATCTAAAAGTCTTCACCCTCTTGAACGATACCCTTTTGATGTTGAGAGGACTGTATGCACTAGCCTGTTTTTGCCTAAAGTCCATCCTCATCTCCTAAGTCTTACAGCTATTGAGCAAGAGGCAGATAATCTGATGCCATTGTATCAGACTAAACAAATCATCCATGTAGACATTCTCATAATTTGTGGCGATCAGGCCAATCACAACTGTGTCGTCCGTGTATTTCGCTATTTTGTTTAAGTTGTGCTTGACTATACTATCATGCTTGTATGAGGAATACAGCAGGGGGTTCAGTACACGGCCTTAAGGGGGCGCCAATATTGAGGGTGATGGGAGCTGAAGTACAGGATTCCTCCTATACCTCGGGGCTGCCTGTGAGAGAGATCCATTAGCAGAGGGATGCATTCAGACCCACTATTTTGAGGTTGGAGGGACTATATATGGTTTTGAAAGCTGAAACAAAATCTACAAACGCCACTCTCGAATAGTTCCCCCTGCCACTGTCCAAGTGGGTGAGAGTGGTATGAAGGACATACTGTAAGAGCTGGCATCGTCGGTGGACCTATGTCCTCTGCACTGAAAGCCTTCAACAGCGATACTGTGGGACCTGTGCTTTCTGGGAGCATCACTGCTTGGTATGGCAGCTGCAGCTCGGAAGACCACAGAGCCCCGCAGAGGGCTGAACGAATCCCCAGGGCAAAACTGCCCACTCTGCAGGACATCTGCATACAACATTGTAGGTTCAAGGCATTAAATATCATTTGAGACACTCACCACCTGTGCCATGGACACAGTGGCTGTGCCCAGGCAGATGCCTCTGGATCCTTATGGATGGCACTGAGAGGCCAAGGAGAAGCTTCTACCCCCAGTACATTAGGATCATTAACACCACCGATTGAAAACCAAAATAAGTTATGACTGCAACCTGCATTTTAAATACTTTCTCAAATCTTCTCATAACATTTATTTTTACTTTTAAATACTTCTTGTTTCTATATTTTATACTTATTTTGTTAATTTAGTTACACCTTGGTTAATTGGTTATACCTTGTTTATTGCAGTGTACATGCAGTAGCAGCAATTTAATTTCATTGCTGGTTTGCCACTACATTCATGCACGTGACGAATGTAAATCTTGAATTTGGGCGACAGGCAGACTGAAGCGGATCAATGATCACAGGAATTATAAAGGGTGGAACCGATATAGGGTAACCCTTAACCAGCCTCTTCAACGCACTTCATGAAACGCGTGGTCAGGGCAGCAGGGATGAATCATTAGAGTGGGGTTGGATGTTTTTGGAACTGAGATAATTTCGGATTTTTTTTTTTTTTTTAAAAAGGAGGAACCACAGTACTGGACAGGCACAGACTGAAAAATTGCATAAACACTCCGGCAAGGGGAGGATGATCGCGGGACCGCAGAACGCGTCCGTATATACAGTGTAGGCTGGCTGGTGTCCTGCCGCTCACACACCGCAGGGACAAGTGTACTTGATGCCCGGCGACCGTAACCGCGTGGAGTGGATGGTCCCGGGACCTGCTCTGGGCTTCACATGCAGCCATGTTGTCATCCAACATTGACATCAAAGAATGCGAAAAAGCGTTCATAACATTCGAATTAATAACACTGAAACAGGAAACAAGTATCACAATTAAAGAGAACTGTCTTTCTCTCTAAATTGATAGCCCAAACATAATTCTATAAAACGGACGTTTCTAGTAAGGCATATTTAATAATTTGTAATTGTGTGTGTAAACACACATGGAACGAACGCTACGTGCACAAGAAAACAAGTTTATAGCAGGGAGCTTAATTCAGCGATAATGTTTGTACGTACAATGCACCTCTGCAGAAAACCAGGTTTTCCATAACATGCACAGAAACGCAATACGACAACGAAAACAAACACTCACATGCTGAACACATGCGAGTGCGCCGTACAGTTGGGACAGTGAAGATCATGTGATGAGGTATACGCATGCGCGAAGTTGGTACGCGTGCGTGTTGCGAATAGAACAGTAGCTGTGGGTCGAGTGGCGACAAGTGACAACAGTAACACAAGGAAGGAGCTGTGCTGCGCATTTTGGGAGCGCGTTAGTGGTGTCATCGACGGCGGCTAGACGAAACACCCGTCGCATTGCGGTGACGCCGCGGGTTAGTCCGGCTCCGGTGGTTTTGGTAGTTCTGGGACTGAGTGGAAACGGGTGTGAATAGCGAGCTGGCTGTACGGAGTTTGGAGAAGCGCGAATTCAGGCAATCAGGTGCGTGAGGGTGGTGTATCTATTATTAGTTCAGAAGGCTGAAGTAGGATATTCAGAATAACTTAATAATTGAGCGAAATATCCAGAAGTCGGTACATTTGGTTGTTTGTGATGTTTTGGTATTAGTTGCTTTTGTGTTTTTATAATATATGAAGTCGTTACCGACGAGGCGTCGTGCTCTTTACTGCCGCCGAATGCGACACACGGCTGCGGGAGGTGTCAGCGGTGTTACCATGTAAAATAAAACTAAATAACACGCCAGGAACTTATCAGTTTAATTTATAACTGCCGTCAGATTCTCCCCAGTGACAGTGGGTCGTTGGGAATGGTCTGGGGTGGTCCATCACAGCAGCAGTCTAGCTGTTTTATGCATCTTAATTCTGTGAAGTTGATATCGCAGTGGTTTGATGTTTATAGAAAAAAACATTCACTTTTTCTCGTTTAACAGTACTAATTTTAGAATCTGTTTTGAGTTATACCCCTACTGACTGATAGTATATTTAGAGTTCAGAGATCAATGTTTAATAAACACAAGAAAATGTATGTGCAAGCTTTTCCTTCATATTATAAAAATGCAGGACTCGAATAGTCACATCACTTATTCTGTCCAGCTGAACGATGGTTAAAATATTAACCGTTTAAGGGCCTCTTCTTAACTGTTTCAGTATGATTTAAAAGTCATGTCCAGTGGGATTTGTCATAAGAAATGGGGAGTGAAAGACCTGCAAGATGCTACTGCATCTTGTTGGCTTAGGTAGAGATGTTCAGGGTCCAGGTGCTTTGTTTTACTAGGTGTACTCCAAAAAATGTGGCGCTTTTGAGTCTCTCTACCACAGATCGCTTGATTTGCAGTGAAATTATATGACACAAGCCTTCCTGAAGGCACGCATGTTGTTGCTGAAGCCCTGAATGATTTGTCTAGCTCAGATAATTTAACAGAAGTAGGTTGAACACACAGCCCTGGTGGATGGCAGTGCTCAATGTGATGGCATTGGATGTTGTTATAAAGTATTTGAATATATAAATATATTTAATAGTCTATCTCCAGGGTGATGTAATTGCTCAGTGGGTTGCACAGTACCTTCACACCTCTAGGGTTGTGAGTTTGATTCCCATTTCCCATTGGATATGGAGTTCAGTGCATGTTCTCATGTTTGTGTAAGTCTCCACTTAGTGCCCAAAAGCATATAGTTTGGATAAGTGGTTATGGAAGATAGATGGGTATGAATTTAATTTTAAATGCATACTGTCCTCACCCTTTAAGGAAATTTTAAGTGAGGCAGAGAGGGTAACACCTGTACAATTTTTTTTTCATTTGTGTTTATGAGTCTAAATGAGACTTGGCACTGCCAAAACACGAAGGGCGTTTATTTTATATTCTCATGGTATTCTGAGTTTCATGATTTCCACGTGCCATGTTTGAGCAGTCAACCGTTGTAAGATAAGGATGTCCTTGTTCTACTTCGTCTGTGGTCAGTGACACATCTCTTGCACCACCTGCTTATGCTGTAACATAAACGGCAGTTGTGTGACCGAGTCCTGCTGAAGCCATAGGTTTTGTAGGTGTTGTCTGACGGCTTCTCAGGATGTCAGCGGGAGTTGCTTTGTTTGTACTTGCATGTTGCCCTGCCCCGAAAGCTAGCTGTTTTCCTTAGACACAGTGCCTCTGTGAGGGTGAGGTGGCCTTTGCCATTTGGTTTCTCTGTCCTGTCACATGTTTCATGCTGTTTTTATTATTCAGCTGGGCTTTCAGTTCACTTTCCCAGTCCTTTGGCAAGTTCATTGCAATGCACATCTATACATAAGGAATTAGTATAAACAGGTGGGCCATGTGTGATCTGTTTCCTAACAACATTTATTGACTTGAAGTCCAGCCTGAAATTGTCCAGCACTGAAGCTTTTGGGCAGGAGGGCGATGAGTGGTGCATGGTGGATGAAGAAACACTGTGACATGGCTTTAATTCAATCAACTTGGACCAGTCAGTGTTTGAGTTTTTGCGTTTTTACATTAGGGAAAGTGCTTACTCACTGTGGTGTGGGGAACATAATTTTTGTTTACAGAGCTTTTTAATTGACTAGCCTTTTACTGTTTATCAGACAAGATAAGCTTGTTTTATAGTATTGATTTTTGGTATCATTAGATAGACAATACAGAGAGGCTGTGTTACTCTCCTTCACCTGCCTTTCACTGTCTTTCTCTCTAGGAATTTTTGTGAGACGGAAGTTCCAGGATGATATCACTGTGATACCTGGAGATCTGTCAGCCCCAGAATGGCTACGGCAAAGAAGAGTATGTCTCTTTGTTTTTTTCCTATCGATTGCTTTATATTTATTTAAGACACTTTTATCCAAAGTGACAAACATATTTGAGAAAGAAGGATCAGCTCTCCCTGGAGTGACTGGGGGTTAAGGCCCCCACTGCAGGGCACAGCTGTGAAACCACAGCTGCCGACCACAAGATCTGAACCAGCAATCCTTTGATCACAGGCACAGTGTCTGAGCTACACACTGCCCTGTTCTCCTTTTTTAGCCTTGTGAGAGACATTGACGAATGCTGCAACTGTAGTATCATCACTCACTTGTAGATGTTATGCAGACCGACTGTATCATCAGTGAATACTAAGCAGAGGTGGATAGATCAAGTTCAGAAAGTATAAATCTAGACCTGTATTTTCTTTTAACCAACCAGTTGGATATAAAAACTCACAGAGTACTCAAGTGGTTGGTTGAACTTTCCTAAATCTTTTATTTTCATCAGGAGTCTGTTTTTATAATGTAAGAGAATTTCCCCAAGGGGATTAATAAAGTAATTCTGATTCTGATTCTGATTCTGAAGCAAAATCTTGGTTCGGATTTTTACTTTCTGGACTTGAACTATTGTCCTCCTGTGAGTAGTTAGCTGAAGAAATTAGATGTTAGGTACTGTATATTTATTATATGTTAATATATATTAAATGCATGAAAGTCAGGATGGTTTGTTGGGTGCTTTTGAAGTGGCTGGTAAGTATTGGCTGTGCTTCATGTGAGATGTTCTGTGTTGGCAAGGTCTCATGTACTTTTTGTTACTATAATGAAGTCTTTGGATCAGTCCAAAATCCTACTGTCCTCTATTACTGTCTCAATTTGAAACAAAACCTGTGCCCTGTAAGCTAGTTGTGGCTAAAATATGTCAAAGCCACAACTGTGTGTCCTGCCCAGTCACCTGGCCACTTCTGAATCACATGTAAATATGCAGGTTCTGTTGGTTTTCAAGGATATATTTCATTGTTCATAGTTTTGTTTAATGCAAATCTGCTTCAGGGAGCCCTGCCGTGGTCTGGCATTTCATCCGGGGTGTGTCGCTGCCTCATGTCGCTGCCTCATGTCGCTGCCTCATGTCGCTGCCTCATGTCGCTGCCTCATGTCTACTGCTCCCCTCTGCGACCATGACTAAGAAAAGCATAAGCATGAGAAAATGAATAGATGCTTCAGGAAGAACATGTCATGACGAGAAATTGTAGGTATTTGCGGTCAGATACCAGTGAAGTTGTTAAGTTGTCAGATATACATTATTTGTCCCCACAATGTGATTAAGAACCTGTTATTTCAACATTGGGGGGACCAGTCCCCACAAGGGGAAATTCAGTTTTATAAAAATCTGTGACTGCAACCAAAAACTAAAAATGCCGAAAGACTTTGTATTTTGTTTGGTTACTTAAGGTTAAGGTTAGGGCTGGGTAGGGTTTAAGGTTGTCATTGTTGGGATTAGGGTTTTGCCCATACAAATGAATGTACGGTCCCCACAGAGATATGAATACAGGTCTGTGTGTCTGTGTGTGTATGACTGGGGGGAAACTGAGCCTACTATGTGTTCTGTGGATGGGCATGGATGTTGCCATGGTGATCAGTAAAAGCCCACCGATAACTTTATAAATCCCAGCTGTGGGTATTCTGGCTATCAAACTGCTCTCATACTCCCCAAAGCCCAAGCCAATTTAGTAAGCTTCACACACACTCCGAGAGTCCTAGCAGTCTCTGTCACGTAATGTGATGCTGTGAATCCCAGTGCATTTGACAGCATCTGTGTGTATATTATCTTCTAACGCTTTATCGTTTGGTAAGTACTGTGATGTCTCTCCTTGGCAAAGAGTGGGTCAGAAGACAAGGAAGAGTGAAAGAATGAAAAGGACAGAACAGTGCAGTCAAAAGACAAAACCGCAGGCTTTGTCACTCTCAATACCTTTAGTATTCGTTAGTAGAGAGGAAGTGAAAGACAACTGCTCCGCTGGCCAGGGTGGGGTGGAGCGGCAAGATGAAGAAGTAGGGCTGAAAGAGAGAGCAGAAAAGCAGGCCGGTAGTTGGAGGAGACCTGAACGGCAACCAGGGGGTTATGAGTTCCAGGTTATAAATCCCAGGTTATAAATCCCAGTATAGGAGTTGGTTTAAAAATGCTGAGCTGATTATTATACAGAGAACTGTGTACTGCTGTTACATGTTGTGTGTCTGCTAAGATGTATAAAATAGTAAATGCCCTATGAAGGCATTGGAGATGCTGTGGGAGGGATTAAATGAGACAGGCAGAGAGGACTGTTATCTGCGTACCAAGTAACCAAGCAGCTGAAATCTCTCTGTTGTACTGGAGACCAAATCTCTGTTTGCTGCAGATTCCTATTACAGTAAACGTGAAAATGACCCATTTTGAGCGAATGCTATTTCTCCCCCTTTACTTGATTTGGCAGTCACCCCTCGTCTGCTGTTTGGCGGGTTTTAGAAGCAGTTCTGTACCTTTCCAAAATGTTTCCATGACACTTGCATAAAGTGTTTATATAATAGGATTAGTGAAGTTATAATTTTGGAATAAATATACTAATAGAATGACTTATTGTGTGACATATTATTTATTTATTTTCCTGGAGATCAAAGTTCTGATTATTTTCATTTACCAGACGAATATGGTAGCATCTTTGAGCTCTGTACTGATGCAATGAATGATTTAATTTCCAGAAACAGAATTTCTTTCACCAAACAGATGATGTGCCAATAGCAGGGTTTAAAATAAGGATCTGTCTGGCCTACTTTCAGGCCTTTTGGTAGACGGGATGAGATGGGATGGCATCTGCAGACACACAAGCTACACCAGGCAGAGACGTCCTGTCTCCGTTACGGTCTCCTCTCAGCCGTGTAACAGCCAGCCTTGTAATCCCCCCCCAGCCATCTGCCTGTTGGCACAGCAGACGGCCAGTCACTCCAGCACAGCAGACGGCCAGTCACTCCAGCACAGCAGTAGCTTCCCTTTGCTCTGGACACTCCACATCCCTCTCCGTTAACTAATTTAAAATAATTTGCTCTAGTTTTGAAACACACTGATGGCAAAAAAAAAACTGCTCTTTTGGCAGCAAAAATGTACTGGTGTTGGTTTCCACTATTGGGCAAGTCAGTGAAATGTGGATTTCTAATACGCCTAAGTATATTTTATGTGAAAGTAAGGTGGTAACCTACCACAGGAGCTGTGGTGCCGACCCAAGGCCTTCTGAGAGCTATAGTGAGCGTTTATATGATTAGATCAGGGTCGGGTTCCCAAACACAGGAGGGAAGCTGTTCAGAGAGCTTCATGTGCATCTCATTCTCGCTGCTCCTGGTGAGGGTCACAATGGCTGCATGCCTAGCTTTTCAGAACAGAAACAGGTAGACGCTCCCTTCTGGGGGATTCCTGCACATTCCCTGGCCACCGGCAGGTGTAACCCAGTGGAACATGTCTGGAACAGCCCCCTTGGGTGTCCTTCAGGTGGCGTCTGTATACGGTGCCTGAACCGGCTCAGCTGACTTTTCACGAGTAGCAGCTCTATTCTGAGGTCCCACCAGATTCCTGAGCGCCTCACCCCCTCAGGGAGATTGAGTCCAGCAACCCTATGGAAAAACCTCATTTTGACTGCTGGTACTTGTGACTTTGTTCTATCCGTCATCACCCGCAGCTCACAATCATAGGTGGGGATATGGACATATATTGACTGGTAAACCGCAAGTTTTGTCTTCTATCTTAACTCCTGCTTCACCACCATAGACCTCTTTAGTGCCCACATAACTCAGTTAATGAACGTATCTGTCTGTCGGTCTCATGTTACCGCTTCACTGTCAGTCAAAGTCCTTAAATTACTTTGCTAAGGGCAGAGTCCAGAGCAGGAGTCAAACCCCTAACCTGGAGGTGTCAGGCAGGCAGTAGTACCTGTCATACTATCCTGCACTTCGTAATGTTGCTGCAATAATGGCTACATTTTGATGCATAACCATGGCTTGTTAAAAGGTTTCCTGAAAATACACTCACTGTGTGTGTATGTATGTGTATGTCTGTGTCTCTGCTTTGTTGTCCACAGGGTCAACTTCAAAGGCGGGGGGGGTCCGCTTCTCTGAGGACACCAGCGCCCACTCCCATGTCCATTTTGATGAGAAGCTGCATGACTCCGTCGTCATGGTGATTCCCGAGGTGGATGGCAACTTCCTAGTGAAGGTGAGTGGGCAGGATTTTCAGAAAAACTTTAATTGGCACATTTGTGGCTTTTGGATTCTCATTAAAGATTATTATTCTGAACAGCTGTCATTTATGTGATGTGAAACAGAGAATGCTAAAAATAGATAAGGAATGAACTATCTTTCTTGTCAGTTTAAATGTCAGGGTTCAGGCTAAAGAAGTCAGAGTGTGAAACGTTGAAATTCTCTTTTAGCTGCATGTATCCCTGTTGTTAAATCAGGTTGCCCTTCCAGGTTCAAAAGAAATGCCAGTCAGATGTAAACCTTTGAAGTTAACCGTATATTTAGGGATGATCTGTTAACAAGGTCAGACCAACCGTCAGCAAAGGAAGCAAAATGTCATTGGTGTCATTGAATTCTCTTGATTTTCCATATCTGTATACCCTGGAAGAATCAAGTGTTTTTTGCAAGAGGAATAACATTTATTTACTTGATGTTGTGTGTTTATCAAAAGAGATGTTCCAGTGTGAAATACGGCCAGCCAGTCCCTGGGGCAGTTTGGGTTAAGGGCCTTCCTCATGGGCCCAATGGTGACATCACTCTGCCAGCCATGGAATCTGAACCAGCCACCTCCCAATTGTAACATTGTTGACCGACACATGTGTGTTTGAATGGATTACAGTGGCTGAAGCTGTGGAATATCAATGTTAGCGCAGACTGAAAAGGGCTAGCAGTTGCATATACCAGCTCTCAGACTTTTTCTGGCTGTAGAAATGGTTTTATTGTGAAAGGACATCTCTGGTAAATGCCTTATTTTTCTACTGACAGTCTGACATCTATTTACAGTTCAGTACTTGGTTCTAATATTCCTTTTAAAGCTTGTGCTGAGCCTACAGTACAGTATGTGATACAGTATGCATACATGTGCATAGTGTCTGAAAAGGTTTAGCAGGTGTACCTCCTGTACCTTGAATTTTATTTCTTTAGTAGTTCTGAAGCAGCTAAATATTACTATGGTTTTGCTGTCTGAGATGGTTTTTTTCCTGTTTCTTTTTGCTACCTCTTTGAAGGTAATGCCTTATTTAGGAAAAGTCTACTCCAAGATGTTACTTTTTGTTCTCACATGCAGAGTATTGATATCCACTACATACATAAAAGTAAAATCTTATAAACATACATGCAGTTGAGTTCTTGCTGCATCAATGTACACTAGCCTTTTTTCACATATTGGCTTCCCAGCCTGCAGTTACGCCTCCAGTGGTAGTCTGTGACCTGCCCTTATGTTCTTTGTGAGGGAGGTGCTGTGGGAAGCAGTGATTTCCAGGCCAGGGTAGTGATTTCTTTGCAGCTGACGCCTTCAGAAAGCTTGCTGCTCCTCCAGTCTTGCCAGTTATCTGAAGTGTTGGCAAGAACAAATTCCATCAACCAGGACAGCATAATAATTCACAAACCAGTTGTCTCAGAATAATGTAGCATAATAATTCACAAACCAGTTGTCTCAGAATAATGTAGCATGTTTTCTTCCATGTCAAATTAATTTTGATGTTTAATATTTGAACTTCTTGACACCATGAGGTGTACGGTTCTTGAAGCATTTTAGGGAACATGTCCCGTTTGGAACCGATCAGTCTCATTTATTCACTGCTTCTCCTGCTGTCTGTCCTTGACTGAGATGTTGCTTTGAGCTTCATTAAATCCCTGGATTCTCTGCTCTCTGTACCTGCACGTGAAGGTGGGCTTTCTGAAGATCCAGCATAAGTACGAGATTGTGTTCACGCTCCCGGAAGTGCCGGCCTTGGGGAGGGATGTCTGCCCGGCGCCGGTGCCAAACCCCCACCTCAGTGTTACGGACATCAGGCATGCGGCAGAGGGTGCGTGACCCCACCCACGACGCTCTTAAAGGGGCGGTTCACCCTTGTCAGTCCCCACATGCCAGTCCATCGCAGGGCACCCACATTGAAATAGGAAGAAAAATTTAGACACCATTTTACTTAAAATGTACGTGAGGGAAGAAATCAGCACAGCCTGGGAATATGTGGAATGAGGAGAGAGTGAGGTTTGTAATAATTATTCTTACTGTGTAAGCGGAGGAAGAAACAGTATGAAGCCGGCCCAGTTCCTGCCCAGTCTTTATATAAGCAGTCCTGTGGGTCTCTTTAGATTAACTTGCGTGTCTGGGACACAGTGCTGCATTTATCCAGCCATCAGGCACTGGGGCTGTGCCTGTTTCAGAAGTTGTTAATGTTAACCCCTCAGTACCTGTGACAGTCACACATAGCGAGCAGCGTCTCCCCTGTGAACCTACTGGACAAACTAAGAGGTTCTAAATCCTCCTGAGACCCCACCCATTCATTTATGTCCATTGTGGTGGACATTTTGTTTTTGCATCTGTCTTTTCACTGATGTAAGGAAACATATTTATTCCTGTTGTAGACTAAAGAGGACATGCTGTGAAATTTAAAAATGAAAATAAATTTGAAAAAATGTAAATTGTAAGATGTCTTGTTTCCATCCAAATACAAATAAGCTAAAATTGAAGGAACTGTTTTTCCTTGGGTCTCAGGAGGATATGCTGGCAAACTCTGAAACCTCTATGCTTAATAAATAGATGAAAATGCATCTGCGAAAAAGAGCAGCACTTAAGGATGTAAGTGGGCGTTTGTGGACTGTTTGTGATTCTGACACTAAGGGAAAATGCACACAGACACACAGAAACAGTTTGGAGAAAGGTGTTTCTGCTTCACGTTGGTCCTTCCCCACTTAGCTAAGCAGCCTGTCCCTCTTCATCCTTCCCACCAACCCCAACACCCGTCCGTGATGCAGGTGGTCTGCAGGTGACCTGTGAGTACCTGGCCCACCAGGAGGGGGTTCTGCAGGAGGACGTCATTCTGGTGAGCGAGAGCAAGGAAGACGCCTCTGTGCGGGTCAGGCTGCAGGCCCGTGTTATGGGTGAGTGTCATGGCAGGGCGTCTGCACGGAAGTGACTGGATATAAGAGAGCAGGTGGGCCTGTAGCAGGGCTCCGTCCAGCCTCCTCCGGTACAAAGGGGATTTAATTAAGGAAGCCAGTCAGCAAAGGAGTTCCTGTGTGAGGTGGCACTGTGGCTTCCTTAGCTGGGCAGATGCTTTCTAAGCCAGTATTCAGAATGGTTCACTCATTCACTCACTGTTCTCTATATAGGAAATGCTCTTCATTATATAGGGAGTGAAACCAGACAGTGCTTTTGGATACCATATCCCAAGACAGTCTGTGTTGGAATGCTAATCACCTTTAATAGCTGATATTTGCCATTAGCAAAATACAGTGACAACTAAATATTATTATTATTATTATTTCAATGTCAGTGTTTGCAGATATTACTCATACCATAATTTAGCATAACATTTTCAAAAGTGTGCTTACGTTTTTATACAATATTTCCCACTTGCACTTCTTATCTTATTTGTATTGACAACAAATGCCACCTTCTCTTTGCATTATGGTATATAGGGAGCACAATAGCGTACACTATCTGTACATTATAATTTGCAGTGCATTGTGGGTATTGTATAGTGCACTATATAATGAGTCAGACTTGCTGTTGAGGATTCAACGATTATTTTATATACTGCGCTTTTTAGGTAATATGAGTGGTTTTTGATATAGCCTAACACTCGTAATCTGAAATGATCATGGGCGGGGGTGCAGAGTCGTACATGCTTTAGGCCAGAAACATCAGCTGAGGTTTTTTGGACTGGACTGATGGCTAAATAAAGCATTTAAAGGCAGACATGCCTCTGGACTTGGACGGTGCACTGACTGAATGCTGCGCTCCCTCCCCCCCGCCTGCAGACCGCCATCACGGGACGCCCATGCTGCTGGAGGGGGTGCGGTGCGTGGGGATGGAGCTGGAGTACGACTCGGAGCAGAGCGACTGGCAGGGTTTCGACTAGCCTGTCCTCCCTCATCCCTGTCATGGATACACAGGTTGAAAACTGCTGCCCTTGCAGCAGACAGACAAATCAGTTAAATTGATGTGACTGCACACACTCAATGTATACCTGTAGAAATGGACTGTTAATACACACACACACATACGCTCTTGCTGCCACAGATCTAACCCACGCACATGCATGCGAAAAGTGGAAGCTATCTTTTTCACGTGTTATATTGACTCTGAAGAATGCCACTGTGAATCCATTCAGAACAAGGGAAGGTTGGAGGCTGAGGGATCTTCTCCTGTTTCACAGGAATAATTCTGCATCGTAAATACAGAATAACATTGTCTTCATTTATGTACGATTTATTTTTATGGCCCGACAATGTCTACTACTTTTTTTTTGCTCTCTAAAAGTGCAGAGCTTCTGCAATATAGCCACAAGGGGTCGCCCAAGAGAATATGTGGTGTTCGTCTGGTACTGCCGTTGTGTGATTTATTTTTATTTTTTTCTGCTTTGCCTTGTTTCTCTGTAGTGATTTAGTAAATACCATTCTGCATCCGAATCAGAAGGAGAGTGATGAACTGACAGTGTCTCCCAGTGTCCCCCATGATACCATTACCAGTCTTTGAACTGCTTCAGTACAGTCAAGGAAATTTTTTTTTTTATTTCATTAGCAGTAGTAGTATTTTACCTTAGCTGTGCATATATTAGCACTTCGGATCCAGCTCACATTGTCCCATATTCACTGATAATATGATATATTAAAATTTGTTTCCTGGGCGGGATGCTGAACCTTCCTGCTTCCCTTTGTGTATGTGTGGGGGGGGTGAGGGGGGTTCTGGTATTGTATGCCATTCGTCACTATGCCCTGGTGCATATGAAGAATATTCCTCATCTAAAGTGCCTGAGACATCTTCAGCTAACTGCCCCCAGTCCAGAATCAGCTTTTTCATAAAAATAGAAGGTTAGTCCGAGGAAATGCTCGTGTGTATTGGCTTGGTCTAACGGCGCATCGGACGAGCCTAAGGATTTTCATTAATTCATTTCTTGATTGTGATCTAAAAAAAAAAAAACATCCCACAATCCTGTACTGGATGAGTGACTGGAAGGCAGATGCTTGGAGTACATATTCACACACAAAAATCTACTGCTTTTTTCGTTCCTAATTACCATTAGACCTGGGGGCTCGCTGACCATCTTTCACCTGGGAAATCAAACTATGCAGAGCTAATGTTCCAGAAGCAGGAATGTCATCAAGCCTTATGTAAAAGACAACAGTTTTATCTCAAGATCGTGGTTTTGTGTGCCTCTCTGTTTTGTACTGTTTAGAAAGTAATTCCAATGCATTCAGATTTGCAGAAATTATTTCCAATATTATTGTATTTTTTGTCATGTTTTTCCAATGAAAAATAAAAGCAGTGTTTGTCAACCGTCGTATGGTTCGCTTATCAGTACCGCAAGGGGGTGTGCTGTGGATGTAACAGTTGATGTGTTAAGTGAACATTAAGAGATGTTCTCATTGTGTTGATTTGCTATGACCCTGTATGCATGATTGTCATAGGGCCATATATGTGTAGCACTGATCAGTTATTTCATTTGAAGGCCACAACACTTAATGAGTTGATTTGGGCAAAATATCAACAGATGGTGTGAATAATTCTTTTTAAGTGAAAGTAACGTAAAAAGCTGCTTTACTTCCATTGGAAATACAATTGTATGTGTGAACATTGTATTGTACTTTGTTAGTTATCCTCCAGCAATATAAAAAGTATATTACAATGCTTTTTAATTTTTATTATAAGGTCACTTTTAAGCAGTATGTTTGTGTAATAAAAATATGTAGCTGTGATTAAGGTTTATATTCTTTATTGATGTGATGATGTACTCTTGCCAACCACTTTACTCGGAACGCCATTCTAGTGCTTGGTAGGTCCACCTTTGTTCTCACATGTCTGATTTCTTCATGGCATAGACTTAATTAGGTGCTGGAAACATTTCTTAGTAATTCTGGTCCATTCATGCTGCAAATCAACACTTCCACCACATCCCAGATGTACTCTGCTGGATATAGATCTGGTGACTGGGGTAACCATTGAAGTACACTGAACTCATTGTCATGTTCATGGAACCAGTTTGATCCTGCTGGAAGTAGCCATTACAGGATGGGTAATTTGTGGCAATAATGGGATGCCCATGGTCAGCAACCATGCTCAGACTGTAGCATTTAAATTATTCTCAGTCGGTTTCAGGGGACCAATGTATGCCAAGAAAACATTCCACCCATCTTTATACCACCAACAACAGGCTGGGTCAATGGATTCCTGCCATTTATCCCAAATTCTAACCCTCTACCATCTGCATATTGCAGTAGTCAAAATTTATTAGACCAGGTAACATTTTTCCAATATTCAGCTGTCCAATTTTGCTGTGCCCACTGTAGCCTTTCTTTCCTGTTCTTTGCTGACAGGAGTGAAACCTGATGTGGTGGAGTGTAGCCCGTCCACCTCGACATGCTGTGCATTCAGAGATACTTTTCTGCTCACCACTGTTACAGAGAGTGGTTATTTGAGTTACAGTAGCTTTCCTGTCAGCTTCAATCTGTTGGGTCATTCTCCTCGGACCTCTCGCATCAACAAGGCATTTCCACCCACAGTACTGTTGCCCACCATGTTTTCTATGTAAACTCTGGAGGTTGCACTTCATGAAAATCCCAGGACATCAACGGTATCTCAAATACTTAATTCACCCCATCTGGCACCAACAGTTCTACCACGATCACTCGCTTAGATTAGAGTTTCCCCCGTTCCCCATTCTGATGTTTCATCTGACCATTATCTGAAGCTCCTGACCTTCATCTGCATTATTTTATACCCTGAACTTTTGCCACATAATTGCCTGATTGTATACTTACATGAAAAAGCAGGTGTTCCTATTAATGTGGCCGGTACGTGTATGTATGTATATACACTCACCTAAATGATTATTAGGAACACCTGTTCAATTTCTCATTAATGCAATTATCTAATCAACCAATCACATGGCAGTTGCTTCAATGCATTTAGGGGTGTGGTCCTG